AGGATTGTTCGGAAGCCGGTTTACGCTAACCCAGGATTAAAAGTTAACCGAATTATAACTTTTTCTTCTATGCAAATGTTTTTTGCTGTTTTGTTTTGCGTATATGGTGATTATTAAAACTCAAAACAGAAAGCCAAACAATATACAGACACCTCACCTCAAAGTTACAAAACTCAAATCAAAATTCTACCTTTTTCTGGGTTAGCTTAATCGGGCTTTGAACAACCCGGCCCACGAGCTACGCTTTTAGGCTGGCCTAAATCTCTATATTAGCAATACTTTGAAAGGCATACAAACGAGGCACAAGAGTCGTTTTAACGTCAAACCGCTGATAACTGCGATAACAGCTTTTCAGGTTCCAATTTGTTATTGTTCTTATTCTTTTAATTTACCTAGAGCAAATTTGCTATTCCTGTTTCTATTCCTATTCGAAACCTTACTTGTGTTTAACTGTACAGAAAAACGGAAATCAAATGTTGAACTTTTAGACACGCTGAGATGTTTTCGCAGAGAAGTGGCCGCCATATTGAAATGGAGATAGTTGCTATGATAACGTCCCACGTGAACTTAAACTTGATGTTTGATTGGCTAATAGTTTGTTTTGGTCCCGGTAATCAAATTTGATAACCGTGATGGACTGGTTTCCGGTATGTCTAAAAGGATTTTCACTGCGTCGGCAACTGTTTGTTGACCAAAGAACTGTATGTATAATACATGTATGGAGTTATACGGAAATCTTGCCAAATATTGCATTCACGGGCAGACAGAGAAAAGCAAAAAACAATAAAGATAATACAAGTTTGCTACCATACTTACTGGAGGCTGAAGGCTCAAGAGTACAAACAAACTAACAGAAACATGCAAAATAAATGAATGGAAAGACCTAACAATCTAAGATCGAGTCAGCTGGACGCAGGAAAGAAAGTGAATGCTTTGTAGAATACGACGAGTACGTTCAGTGGCACTCTGTTGCGGTTATTGTAATGTTTGAACAAAGAACTGAATGCATAATAAATGTATGGGTTACATGAAAAGTTTGCCGTGTTGGAAGCGTCGCCGTCGGCAAAATCACAAACATGTTTTTGGTTAGCCCAACCAAATTCCGATTTGTGTCAGCTAAAGTTTACTTCTTCTAGTCAGGAACATACCTTTGCTTTACAGATGTTTTTTACTCTCTGAGTCACTGGCAAAAAGTGCTGCCTATTTCAGTCCTTTCGTCATATCTGACCCGCCAAA